CGCAGTCGGTTAAGCATCTAACTTCGGCTCAGGTCATGATCTTGTGGTCTGTGTGTTTGAGCCCCGTGTCAGGCTCTGTGCTGGCAGCTCAGAGCCTGGAGCCTGCTTCTGATTCTGTGTCTCCCTTTCTCTCTGTCCCTCTGCTGCTTGCTCTCTGTCTCTCTCTCTCTCAAATAAACATTAAAAAAAAGTCCCATCTATATATGACCTATAAGAGACTCATTTTAGCCCTAAAGACACCTGCAGATTGAAAGTTATAGGGTGAAGAAATATTTACCACACAAAGGAATGTCAAAAGAAAGCCAGAATAGCAATACCTGTATCAGACAAACTAGACTTTAAAACAAAGACTTTAGAAAGAGACAAAGAAAGACACTACATAATCATTAGGGGGACAATCCAACAAGAAGACATAACAGTTGTAAATGTTCCATGCATCCAATATGGAAGCATCCAAATATATAAAACAATAATAAACAAAAGGAACTAATTTATAATAACCCAATAATAGTAGGGGACTTCAACACCCCATTGACATCAATGGACAGATATCTAAACAGAACATCAACAAGGAAACAATGGCTTTGAATGGCACACTAGATCAGATGGGCTTAACAGATGCATTCAGAACATTCTTTCCTAAAACAGCAGAATACACATTTTTTTTCAAGTGCACATGTAACATTATCCAGAATAGATTACATATTAGGTTACAAAACAGGCCTCAACAAATACAAAAATATTGAAATCATACCATGCATTTTTTCTGAGCACAACGTTATGAAACTCCAAGTCAACCACAAGAAGAAATTTGGGAAGACCATATGGAGGTTAAAACAACATGAATGAATGAACAACATAAAGAATGAATGGGTTAATCAGGAAATCAAAGAAATAAAAAACATGAAAACAAATGAAAATGAAAACACAATGGTCCGAAACCTTTGGGATACAGCAAAATTGTTCCTAAGAGGGAAGTATATTGCAATACAGGTCTACTTCAAGAAGCAAGAAAAAAAATCCCAAAGAAATAGGCTGTGTTTGTACTTTGAGCTTTCTCAACCTGCTTCCTGCCTGTAGAAGATTGGGGGTCTATAGCCACTTTTCATTTTGCACTATTGTCTTTTTTCTTCCAAGTTTGTACAATTCCTTATAAAAACTTTGTGAGTATATTATTGAATTGACTTCTAATAAAGTACACTGGACAGAAGCCACATTCAGATGTACTTTTTAGAAAAACCCTTCTCTACTTTGGGTCACCTTTGGTACTGCTCTGTTTCCATTTTCTTAGATTCTTAGGAGCACTCTTATTTTAGCCAAGAGGGTCTGTGACATATGGCCTTAAGATTCATAGAAGTCCTTTTCTTTAATTGAGAAATTCTGTGAGGTACCATCTGAAATCTTTCTGAGGTCTTTGCTCTCAGGCCATTTCTTGCTTTGAGAGCTTTTTGCTGTACGGAGAGATGGATGAAGAAGAATTTTATTTTTAAATCCAGAAAATCTTGATTTATTTTCATTTTCTGTAAATTCCCTTTGAAAACAACAGTTTTAGCCCATCTCTTTCTTTCCATACCTTCTCACACATGGCTGAAAATCGTTACTTGGCACTTGTGATGATATTCAGCCCTCAAACTTTCTTAGCCAGAAACCCCTTATTTACTAGGTATTTTCTTTATTGTCTCAAGCATTAGTATTGTTAAAATCTCTGCCATTACATTATATGTTTTCTTTTTTTTCCAGCCTGCAATAACATTTTCCTCCTGTCTTTTAAGCCATCACCAAGTCCTTTGATGGCCCTGTCTCTATGTCTTGAGTTGTTTCAGCTTCTGACCCATTGCCCCTTCCCAAACCATTGCTACAAGTTTTGTTATGGCAATTTGTTATGGTAAGTTTATAGGGGTACAAAATTATTTACTACTCATGCCATTGAGAGGTTGAGTCTCATTCTTCTCCCTTCCAATCTTGGCTAATCTGGTGTCTTTTTTGACAAATGGTATGTGGTAGAAGTGATATCCCAGCACTTCTTTTTTTTTTTTAATATAATTTATTGTCAAATTGGTTTCCATAGAACACCCAGTGCTCATCCCAATAAGTGCCCTTCTCAATTCCCATCACCCACTTTCCCCTCTCTCCACCCCCATCAACCCTCAGTTTGTTCTCAGTATTTAAGAGTCTCTTAAGGTTTCCAGCACTTCTTAGGCAAAGTTATAAGCTTTACACCATACACCTAGCCCTGTTGAACAATTGCCCAAAGCCTCTATAAAGTCTGACTGTTCCAAGACTGTAGTTCTGGAGAGGTCATGTGTTAAGTGTTCGACACTTCCCCACCTGAGGCTAGCTCAGTGTGTTTATTATGAATTTGAAATCCAAATTATTTCTATAAATGAACTTACTGATTGACCCAACTGCCTTAAGATTGGGTCTTGTTTTCAATTTGATGGCCTAGTGTATTATGAATAAAATATAAATTTCCCAAAGGTTAGTTAATTTTTAAAGGATTACATGCAATTTTGATGACCCCCTCCAATCCAATCCCAAGTCTTACATGTTTTAAGAATCAGTGAGAGGGGCGCCTGGGTGGCTCAGTCAGTTAAGCGTCCGACTTCAGCTCAGGTCATGATCTCGCAGTCTGTGAGTTCGAGCCCCGCGTCGGGCTCTGTGCTGACAGCTCAGAGCCTGGAGCCTGTTTCAGATTCTGTGTCTCCCTCTCTCTGACCCTCTCCTGTTCATGCTCTGTCACTCCCTGTCTCAAAAATAAATAAAACGCTAAAAAAAAAAATTATATAAAAAAAAAAAAAGAATCAGTGAGAATGGCCTCATGGAACTTTGAGTTTATTTATTTATCTATTTTATTAAAAAAAATTTTTTTATTGCATGTAGAGATTAGGTACAGTAATGAATTGGACCCATCAGTCATAGGACAGATTTACAGATTACTGTTAGAAGGTAACCCTAAACTAACGTTGGGGTTCCTTGGCATTTCTACACCTACTGAGTGGAAAATGAATATGAAAAACCTCTAATGTGAGTGAATTACATGATCAGGATGGCTTTTCAAATCAGAAGCTTAACAAGGCAGTACTTGTGATGTATACACTGTGAGGTCCCTGTATTTAAGCACTTAAGTTGTAATGTGTTTTATTGTATTCTCATGCCAGAAAAGAGTCAGATCTGACATACTTGTCTTTTAATTACCTGAAATGGTGGTCTAAATAGTTTTTATCACACTTTCCATGTACCTTTTCCCTAAACATTACTAGTGGAGGGAATTATGAAGATGGCAGGAATAAACCATAGTAGCATTTAGATTTTCCGAGAGTTGGCACAAGAGACTCTTTGGCAGAGACTTTTTAAAAAATGGTTTGTTTGTTTATTTATTTATTTATTTATTTATTTATTTATTTATTTATTTGGAAGAGAGGGAGAGAGAGAGAGAAAGAAAGAGAGAGAGAGAGAGAGAGAGTGAGCGTGAGCAGGGGGGAGGCAGAGAGAGAGGGAGAGAGAGAGAATCCCAAGCAGGCTCTGCACTGTCGGCACAGAGCCTGACATGGAGTTCGACCTCACAAACCATGAGATCATGACCTGAGTAGAAATCAAGACTCAGTTGCTTAACCAGCTGAGCCCCCCAGGCGCTCCTGGGAGAGACTTTTGAGGAAAAGATGTTGGAATTGGAATATTTGAAAAATTGGGAAGATTTTAGGTAGCTTGTTTTAGAAAAATCTTCTATTTTACAATGTATAATGATTTAATCATTTTTAGTCCAGAAAGGACCTAAAGTATCATTAGCCTCATAGTATTCAAAGTGCTCACTTGTCAGCAACTTGTTTCCTACCTACAATGAGAAAGGAGATTGCACTAAAATGTAAATCAACACAGTGCTTCCTTTATGGAGAAAGACTAGTTATAAAATACCTAGGGAATAGTCAATTTACATTTAATTATAAGCTCCTTTTCTGGTAGATTGTTTTTGGATTAGCAACAGCCCATAGACCACATTTTGAGTAGTACTGATCTAGTCAGTTTCTGTATCTTCAGACAAAGAACTTGAAGCCCAGAAAAACAAATGCGATTGAAATTACATTTTATATCTATTTAGTTGCAGAGCTAATTTAGTAGAATTCAGGTAACATGAATACAACCAGGTTAAATGTCCTTTCAAGTATATATTGCATTTTATGGATATTGCTGCTTCCTGAAACTGATGTTTTAAAATTACTGAATTATAAAACATATACAAATATTTTTTTCAAATATTTTAATGTTTTGATAAAGCTTTTTCCAATGACATAGAAAGTTTGTATTATTTTGATTGAAAAAGATGTTATTTACTCAGATTGCCAATGTAGAAAATATTTCTGGCTATAAATATGTCCTGAAAGGTAAAAGGCAAAAATAAAATAACTGCTGTGATAGGAATATTGGATGATAGGTGATATTTTTCTCCCAAATTGATTTTTAATGTTGCTACATCAACTTTTCAATATTTTTTGGCATCAAGAATTCCTTTCTTCCGTTTGTTCTTTTTCCTTTCCTTTCCTTTCCTTTCCTTTCCTTTCCTTTCCTTTCCTT